GGGGGCATGCCCCCCCCATGCCGCCCCCCCTCAGGAGTGCGCGCAGTGGCGGGAAGCCAGCCCCCTCCCACCCACCCCCAGACAAGCCGCCTGCAGCTGTCCTGTGACTTGTCCCGGCCCCAGGTCCCACGCACTGCCCCGGCTGGGCAGCGTCCCCAACCCCGGCCCTACCCAACTCCTCCCTCTCTCTGGGGGCCTCAGTCTCCCCCATGCCCCAGACTTCCCTGGGGGGAGCTGTGCGAGCTGCTCTCCAGGTTGCCTGGCAGCCATGTGATGGGTGCACACAACCAGGCACGGGGCATGCCCTGGCTGACCGCCCCCCGCCCCGACCCCGCGCTCCGCCAGCCCGCAAGGGCAAACCTGCCATGCCCCATGTTTTTTCTCCTTTAGAGGATAAAGATTTGTACTTTTCTCCTTTAAAAGAGAAAATCTACATTTTCCTCCTTAAAAAGAAGAAAATCTGTTTTTCCGTGACGAACGGAAAACCCAGATCACTGGTGACGACGCCGCACCCCACGCCCTAGCTCTGCTCAGGAGCTGGCCCAGCCGCACGTGGCCCCTCTACACATAGACACGGCAGCGGGACCGGTTCCTAGCAACGGGGGCGGGGCGAGCGCGCGCTGCGGCTGCCCCTAGTGCAGCTTCTCCGGGGTGACCCCTGGCCCTCCCCACGGGGTCCCGGCCGCGCGGGTGTTGGAGACCGGCCCTCGCTCCTGGGGGACTCCGCTGTGTCTCGGGAGCCGGCCCTGGGCGCGGCGGCTGGGGACGGTGCAGGCGCGAGGGGCCCGCTTGTTTCGTGGCTCCCACGAGAGCCCGGGGCTGAGCCAGCACCCACTCCTGCCCTCGAGACAGTCCCGCCAGTCCCGTGCCCACTTGTAACCCGGCCCCGGGCTGGGTTTGGGGCTGTCCCCATTGTCAGGGCTTGAGCCCCTGCGGCTTTTCCACCCGCTCTCCTCAGGCTTCTTCCAGCTCCGGTCTGGAGCCCCCCTGTGACGTGCCTGATGCCGCTACCACCCGAGGAGCCATTGCTCTCCGGAACCCACAGCAGGGCTGAGAAAATGGGAACCACGTGCTTGTGTGGCCCCAGCTCCTTATGCCACGCCCCTGCCTGCTGGTGATCCCGCTCCCTCCTGGGGTTTGGCACCCAGGCTGTGAAAAACCGCTGGCTTGTGCCTCCTGGTCCGATGCACTTTAAAGTAGCTAATTTGGTAAAATGAAGGACGTTTGGGAGATGAGCCGGGACTCTGCCTTGTAAATGTACATGCTGTTTGACAGGGTTGAGTAGCCCTGGTGGGGTGATGATATTGAACCTCCAGGTTACTGTAAACAGCATCCCCCTCGGAGGCTTTTGGCCACAGTGGCTGTTCAGCATTCAGGGTAATACTTAGCTGTATTATACAGATGACTTGCATGTAAAACTGTAGCTTAGTATTCAGGTATGTCTGTGTTTCTCCTAATTTTGATCTAAACTTGAGATGTTGCAAAAGTTCATAAAACTATGTGGCCTTATTTTAATGACTGTGCTGTGTGATCTGGTGCTTGCTTCACTGACACTTCTGGCACCAGCAGAGGGAGACCCTGGCACATGCATCCCTCCAGTGCGCTGGGCTGGAGCCCCTTCCTTGCCTCCTCAGGAAACGCCTGCTGGGGCTCTGGCTGCGTTGCTCCCCCTCCCTTTCTCCCTTACGTGGTCCCACCAAGTCCCAGGACTTCATTTCTGGCTCTAGCCAAGCTGCCCCTCTGCCTGACCAGGAAAGAGGCTTTGGCTGGGGGCACCCTTGGTGACTGTAGGGCAATGTCTTCTAGTCCCTCATCCACTCACATCTCTAGGCACTGGGTGGTGTCACCTGGTACCATGAACTTGCTTGGAGGCCTGTGGGTGTTGGCTGGTGGGCTCTGTTCAGTTTCTCCCCCCTTTGGACCTCTCATTATTAAACTCTGACCCCTGTGCTCCTGTCTCTGTTTTCACCTTTGTGCCCTAGAACAAGTAGTTCTGTTTCCAAGTGGTCTCCTTGGCTGAGGGGGCTTAAAGTTTTCCTGGTGGGCCTAGACTCCCCATACCTCAGCACAACCAAGTAGGCCTTGTGCCTGTGTAATTGACAGTGGTATGCAGAACTGATGCAAACTATATTAAGGTAGAGTTCATTGGTCCTTGCTCCATGCTGCTTGCTGGCTCCTGTTGCTGGTTTAGGGTCTCCTGGCACAGTGTTTAAAGTGGTGGTGGCAAGTGGTGTGTTGCCTGCTCTAGGGCACTTGACATTGCTTGTGGTGGTGGGAAACTTTTAGAAAACTCCTCTAAGATTAATTGGGCAAGAGGGGAAGGATGGGAGATCTCCATATGGGAAGGTCAGGGGCTATTTATTCTTAGTGTATGTATCAGTTCCCTTTTTAGTTTATTTTTGTCCATTTATTCTTGGTAGGCTGGCATGCAAGCAGGGAGTCAGCAGAAGCATGTGAGGTGAAAAAGTGAGCAAACTCCTTTCCACTGTTTGGCTTGGGGGACAGGGGGCAGCAGGGAACATGGGTCTTACAAAAATCCAAATAGAGATTTTTTTTTTAAACAACATCAGATAAGTTACTGAAGCTTGAACTTCCTGCAGCTTCAGCTAGGGAAGATGTTGCTTTGACATCACCTGGGGCCCAGCCCTGCATTTGGATATGCAGGGACCCTTGTGTGGACACTCAGGCCTCCACTGACTCTTGCATTATGGACAGATCCAGTTACAGGATTAGCCCCTTGAATTTCAAGTATTAATTGGGAAAACCATTTTCTTCTTTCAGAGAAAAGTAGGGCTGCACAGTACCTCAAAAGGTAAGCTAGTTAGTCTTCTTGCTCCATGGCAGTCAGGTATCTAGATCAATTTCGACATGTGGTTGGCTGTGCTTATTCTGGTGTGGCTGTTCTTAAAAAACACCTATAGTAGGGTTTCCATTGGGTAACCCCTTCAAGTGCATAACTATGCTAAAGGTTTGGAGGCTTTTCCCACTGTCTAATCTCAGTCCTTTGGTTGCTGATTAGTTCTTGTCCTAATCTGGCTGCACATAGCAAATGATTGATTGCTACCTTTTTTTAATTAAATATCCATGTATTCATGAGTGTTATTATGGCCTTACCAGTTACCACTCTCTTCTCTAAGCTAAACAAACCCACTTCTTTCAGCCCTTTCTCAGGCGTGGCATTCTTGACCTGTTGTCATATTTATTGCTTTCCTCTGAACTCTCCAATTTGTCTGTCTACAGCTTTCCTTAAGAACCTAAAACAGGACATAGGATTCTAACTGAGGTATCTACCATACTGAATGCAGTGGAATAATTACTTCCCTTGTTTGGCACATGACATTCCTGTTAATAAATCCCCAAGTGATGTTTGCCTTTCATGCAGCAGCATCACATTGCTGATTCACATTGCTGTAATTCCTGAGTCCTCTTCTGCCATACAGTTGCCTACCCAGTTTTTCCCTGTTTGATATTTGTGCATTTGATTTTTCCTTCCTTAATATAGCACTTTGCCCATATCTTCAGTGAATTTCACCTCGCTGATTTGGATAATTTCTTCAGATTTCTGTACATTTTAAATTCTGATCCTGTTCACCAGCCTGTCCCAGCTTGATGCCATTGGCAGATTTTATAAGCGTATCTTTATGTCACTCCTAGTCTGACAGATGCAGTGATTGCTTTGGGGATAATTTTCGAGTGCCAGATTATAACTGCCTAATTGAAATATATGCACAGCAAAATCCTTGCAAACAAATTGCAATGACATGGGGAAGAGGAAAAAAACACGCATTAATAAATACAACTAGTACTGGGCCTGTCTAACCTTTAAGTTGACCTTGTCCTTTTAATGTTGTATGTAAATATACTGGGATGTTTTCATTGTTAAAAATCAACTATCAAATGCATGTCAGGGAAAGTGGGAGTAAAGCAATACGTGCATCTCGAAGCACTGATAGTATCTCAAACCACGTAAGCTTCACTCCTGTGACTGCTGTGGTTGGCACAGCTTCTCAAGCTCTCCAGCAGTTCTGGCAAGAGACTTATCCATTATTATATAAGTGGATTAGAGTCATTCACAAAATGAATAGGCTGCTCCATTAAGGCTTCAGAATAAGGAGGAAAGGGAGTATCATCTTGAGGACTTGGGAGCCCAGGAGATCAATTCTCAGTTCTGCCGCAGATTTCCTGCCTGATTCAGGAGAAGTCACTAAGGTCCTGCTTTAGCCAGGTTCAACTTTAAGCAAGCAAATGGTCCCTGACTCCAGTAGATGTGCTTTCATGTTAAGTACTGTGGTGAATCAGGCCTTATCTGTCAAAGTGCTCTGAAGAATTGTTCTGTTCTTTTTCTGTAGTTAAAAAGAGAGTGAAAAGTAAGAGCTGGCATTTTCTGAAGGGCGCTTTGTGCCTACAAAGGTTGAGAACCATTATTCTAAGCAGGCTGGTGAGCAGGAATCCTGGTTTTCCCTGATAAATTGCAAATTCTCTGATTAAAACCCCCAAAATTTGTGATTAAAATGAAAGGCCCCTCATTCCCCCCAACAGCCCTCCCCGGCCCTGCTGGTGCTTCTCACTCTCTCCAGCCTACACTCCCAGCTCTGCTGGAGGGGGCCCCAGCTGCCATGTCTATGGTGCCAGGGACCTGAGTCTACAGCCCCTGGCAGAGGTGGTGGCTGCTGCAGCAGAGCAGAGCCTGGCTCCCCCCCACCTCAGTCTGCCTGCTGTAGGTTCAGGTGGTTGGGGATGCTCCCTGCTGCTGCACCCACTCCCAAGGGGCAGGAGCGACCTGTCTCCTGTATGTGCAGCAGCTGTGAAGGGCACAACCCCACACCACCGCTGCTGCCGCACAAGCAGGGGATTCATCAGCAGGGCAGCGCAGAGCTTTCAGCAGCAAGCAGCTTTCCTGCACAGCCCCACTGTGCCCTGCAGTACCAGGTTGCACCAACCAGGCTGCAGAGGCCCCAGGGGAGGGCAGCAGGGCAGGAGCCTGAGGCCTCAGTGGGTAGCCTGCCCCCACCCCTACCCTGTGCACAGATCTGGGAGCAAAAGTCCTCCCTGCCACCTGGGAGTGCTCGTAGCAGCAGGGAGCTGGACCCACCCCCAAGATGAGCCACCCACGGCCCCTGCCTGCAGCCACTCTTTGCAGCCCTAAGCCCTACTCACTGCCTAGCTGGGCAGCAGCCCCAGCCCTGCCCAACTCCCTCCCTCTCTATGGAGCCTCAGTCTCTTCCCCCTCCCCTGCCAATGTACCTGGAGGAACTGCTCACCAGGCTGCCTGGGGAACATGGCACCCCCTGCCTGGCCACCTCATCCTCCCTCCCAGCCCCTTGCAGGATGGAACTCTGCCAGTCTACAGAGAGCACTTTGCAAAACTGAAAAACCCACGGGTTTCTCTGGTAAAATGAGAAATCCATGGTTTCCTCCAGTGAAGGGTGAAATCCATGCTATTCTTTTTTCTGTGGGAAACGGGAAATCCAGATCCCTGCTGGTCTGTTGAAGGCTATTCCAGAATATAAGTCACTTAAGATGATGGGACCCAGTATATGAGTTCCAGTACCCTCATTTTTGTCTCTGCAGGTTAAAGACACCTTAGAAGCACCAACATAAGTCATTTGTTAGTATTTTCTTTTCATGTTGCACAGTAAAACTTATTATGTGCTTGAGAATCTGGCTTAGAATAAATCACCTCCTCTTTGTTTCAGTAGACTTTTTAAGTGTGTGAGAGGAGAAGGAAGTTCAGCAGACTTTTTAAGTGTGAGAGAGGAGAAGGAAGACGCTTCTGTCATGGCTGCCGAGCTGGACTTTTCCCCCCCTGAGATCCCTGAGCCCACCTTCATGGAGAATGTGCTGCGCTATGGACTTTTTTTTGGAGCCATTTTCCAGCTTATCTGTGTATTAGCCATAATCCTTCCAGTCTCAAAGTCTAATAAAACAGTAAGTAGCTCCCTTCATTGCTACTGGGGACGTGGTGGGGGGAGGGTCTGAATCTTGTATCGATCACTATTGCTGTCGTTCATTACTTTTCCTCTCTTTCTTGCAAAGATTCCTTTGCTTTTCCCTCCTTTTCTCCTATCAGCCTTGCATCACTGGGAACCAGGACATGTTGGGAGCAGCCCCTGAACTTCCCAGGGCTGGAGAGTTGCTTGTGAGAAAAGAAACTAAATGCTTTTGTCTACATTGCTCTCCACTCCTGCCCAACACACAGAGCAAAGGGCTGGCATCAGTCTCAAACTTGACTTGCCACATTGCTGTTGGCCTGGTCTGTTATTCCTTGGTAAAGAAGCCAGCGAGGAGAGAACCTTTGCAAATTCTGCCTCTGCAACCAGGAACCACTGTAGTTTGTTTATAAGCCTTCACTGCGTTTCCTAGTGTTTGCTAGCAGAGATGTAGCTTTCAGTCCTGTCCTTGTAGACATGTAGGACACTTGACTTCCATCAGTAGGAGAAGGGATTATAATGTAAACTAGGAGCTAGGACACAGCAAGTGTGAGATGGTGTTGAAGTGTTATGATCAAAGTCCACTTGGCTGTTCTGGTGAACAGAACTCAGTGGATTTGGTAATGCCAGTATTAATAGGCCTGCTTCTTTTCAGAATAGGGTGATTTTTCATATTCCTTTGTCTTGATGTGTAGGGTTCTGGCTGGGATTTCTAGTAACAACTTTCCATGGAAAGTTTGATCATCTTTACTGCTGGCAACAGATGAGATCCAAAAATGTGTTCCTTGTTTTGAAAGCATTAGGGGGTTCTGTAGCATAGTGTTAAATGGACCTAGCATGTGTGAAACCTGGAAAATTTCAGTAACACATTGAATATAATCATCTAGCTTGTACATAGGAAAGAAGATGCCTGTAACGTGGGCAAGTGTATGGTTGTGTAGGAGGTGTAGCATGAGAAATCTTAGGGTGTCTCAACATTGTTATACTGGGGCAGGGAGGAGTTTAATAGCTGGATCCTTAGTAACTAGCTATAGTGATGGTGCGTTAGCCTTAGAACAGGAATCTGAAAGCCAGACACTGTACTTGAGCTGTAGGGCTCAAAGAAGCGTTGCTATTTGAGGCCTTTTCTTGGTGTGCTCATGCTCAGCTGATGTTTTCCACACACACGTCCTCAGCCCATTCATAGAAGCTGCAGACAAATCCCACATGGTTACATTACAAGATAATAAACAAGAGTGGACGCCTCTTAGACACGGGAGCAACACTCCCTTCCCGAGTCTGTAGAATTTAGAGCAGCCTCTCTGATTTACAGAGGCTTCAAGTCTGGAAGACTACCTTGGTTTGAACATTAGAAGGCAGCAGCGATCATCTTATGGCAGCAACAAGCTCTGTGTCCCTGCGTAATAATGGCATATTGCTGCATTTCTTCAGAGAATTGCAGCACTGTCTGCCAGCTCCCCAGACACAGATTCCATCATTTGGGAAGCCAGCCAAGTTGCCTTCCTTGGAAAGCCACACAGATGTGAATTGTAATAGCCTAGGAACTTACACATTTGAACTGAGCTCATTGATTAAGAGGATGTTGTCATTCACTCCCCTTCCTTTGCATTGTCTGCTACATTTCCTGGAAAGCTGGACGCTATCACTTCTTTCTCTGCCATTTTTTGTGTCCTTTCGCAGCTGGCACACGGTGATTTATAGAAACCTCCGTGCTTGGGGATACTTACTTCCAGCCTCATTTAAACAAATGAGACAATCTGCATGTCTACTTCCTCAAATGAGACTGGCTCTGCTCCCTTGTGTTTTGATAAGATGGCTAGAATTTATTTCCCATGGCAGAAATGATCTCTATCATCTCCCCTGCAGAGAAACACTAGGATATGCAAGCTGTACTTCTTGGTCTAGGTACAGAGAGCTTTGTTCTTCTCCTAAATCAGTGGTTTCATTAGAAGTTCTGAACTTTACATTACTGCTGCTGTATTTGGGGGACATTTGTTGTCTTATGTATGATGCCACTATTCATGTTGCAAAACCTCTCTTCTGCAAGCAGCTGATTGGCCAGTTCTGATTTTGTTCTTCCCACTTGAAATTTTCTTATTTGTCCTGCTCTTTTTCCTTCTCTCCTTTACTCTATCTTTTATTTTTCCAGTTTGGAGTCCTCTCTAAAGTCCTCCAGGTTAGACCGGTGGTTCTCAACCTTGCAGACTCAAGGCATCCCTCAGAAAAATACTAGCTCTTTATTTTCACTTGTGTGGGGGTTTTTTTTTTTGGTGTTTTTTACTTCAGCAAAATAATAGAGCAATTCTTCTCTCACAAAGAACTCGGAGTGCAATAGGTCCCACTGTTTTTAACAGTATGAATTCCTATTTGAAATCTCTGGGTTTATCTTGTGAATCATGTTTGCATACTGAACAGTGCCAACATTGTGTGGTGCCCCACAGCACTCTTAAAAGGATCTCAAGACACCCCAGGCTGCTGCATCACCCTGATTGAGAAAGTGAGTTAAGCGATAACAAAACATGACTACACATAGAATTTCCACAGTTTAACTAAACATGTTTCTAAAATCAAATGAAACCTGACTAGCTTCAGTTCAGTGTGCATCAGGAAATGGACAGGCCCAAGCATAAACCCAGAGAAACTGTTTCCAGCCAGCATAAGTATGTTAACACAGAGGTTTTACCAATTTCCCTAAATTTACTTTTCAGCTGATTTGAATTAAATGGGTATAGACCTGCATGTAGGCAAGGCCTTAGGCTAATTGTTGGTTCCTTGTGACTTAGCTGTCCATGTTGTCATCGTCGTCCGTCCGTCCCCCCTGCCCCCTGATCCCAGGGTTGTTTGAGATGTGAAATGTGAGGCAAATGGGTAGAACAGTGCTGACTACTTGTTTCTTCATTGATTGTTGTAGGACTCCGACGGTTTTGAGCCTAAAAGCTCTGAGGTGGTGAAGAAGCCAAAGGTGGCTGCTCAGCAAATGAGCAAGAAACCCAAGAAGGAAACTAAGAAGAAGCGATAGAAGGCCTCAGAATGGAGCCTGATGGCAACATTTTGGCTGTAATCAAGTTTCCTTGAAGATGACATCATGGGTCAACCAATTAAATGGGTGTCTGGTCCTGCCATGCTATGTCTTCCAGGGGTAGGGGGGACTGACAAGTTGTGGGAGGGTTGGGTTTCTTTTGCTTGATTCCTTGCAGGCAAAATGGACTGTACACATCCAGCTAGTTATTCTAACTGTCATAAGCCCTGTTATCAGCTCACTCCTAATGGGTAAGGAAAGCTTACACTTGCACCTCCCCCATGCTGGCAGGGGTGTGAGGTGAAGGCCCATGGAAGGGGAGCATGTGTTTGGCTATCAAAGATACCTGTTTTCTGGGTCATATTTTTAAGGACTGAGGGATCAACTGGCTCTGGGGTGTCCCACTTCTCAACTCTGTAACCTCCTGTATTGTTGTCTCATTTAAAATACACCAGTTTGTTTTATCGCTTAATAATAATGGGCTTGTCGTGTCCTTTTAAAAAATAATTGTCTTTATTTAAGCACTGCTCTGAGGCCAGGCTTCCTCTGGCTGGAAGTCTTCTCTTCCCCACCATCATGCCATCTGAGCATTCTGCCGTATGACACCTAATCCCTTGCTAATCCAGTTGCCTCCCCCTGCTGTTCCCAATTCTGGAAGAAACATGAAGACAGATGAGAGGAGGAGCCCAAGTACAAGAGCAGTTTGTGGTCAGAGGGGCTGTATGAATGCAGGTACTTGGTGGCTGCTGAACTCTGGGAGATGCAGGGGTGATGTGTTGTACTAAAGGAGTGATCTTGGGAGACTGAGAGAGACAGGACACTGCATGTTGGGGAATGCCCATTCTAGGATGTCAGTTTAAGAGTATTGCCACTGCATTCCTAAATTCTCCATCCTGCCAGCAAAGCGTGATGAGCACTGCCTTAGCCTTCTAAAACCCAGTGTGGGCACACATTTAGTATGCTGAGTTTATAGCTGCCTCCCAGCTTTACCTGGCACCATCTCGTGTCTCCTCTCTAAATCTGGGCTGAAGTTGACAATCATCTCACCCTGAGGAGAGGAGGCATTTTAAAATCCAAAACACAATAAAATCACTGCATAGCGCAGTGGAGATGTTTGCTGCTGTATAGCCACACTCCTTCAGTCTCCTGCTCTCCAGTGTTAGTATGAAGCCAAGCACTTAGCATTAAATTTATATGTGGCTAGACAGGTTACTTTACAGGACTGGAACAGAGAGGTTGAGATGTGGTGGCAGAGTCTGTAGGGCAGCACTAGACTCCTGATGCCAGCTCCCATCCCATCCCTGCATGCTCGATTTCTAGTGAGTCAGTAGAAGGGCAGCCTGCTGTTTAAATGCACCCAGAGCAGAGTATGCTGGGTTCTGGGAAGGCCCCAGTCCTGCAGTCAGAGTCAGATCCCTGCTACCAGGCAGCACCTCTGTCAAATCAGTGAAAGCAGGGGTCTGCCCCACAGCCAATGGCAGGGTCAGTACCTGGGAATAGGTAGCAGATGCTTTGCTGCATTCATTTTTCAGTATCAGCAAAACAACACATTTTTACTCTGTACTGCCAGTGTTGAGGAATCGGGCTGGATCTCTTGTTCCTCTTTCGGATTGGTGGGTAAGAGGGGCCCAATACCAACTTGATTTGAACTTCTGACCACTGCCCAGTTCTGCTGTAGGTAATGCCCCAGACTTTCTCTGCTTGCCTGGGATTCTGGTGTCTGCAATTGCTGGGAGCACACTGAGTTCTGGTTGAAACCTAGGTTGGAGAGCCCTTTAAAACCAATTCTTCGTAGAGTAGAGAATGACATGCTGAAGCTCCCAGCAGCCCCGCAGTACAATTCCATACCTAGTTTGATCTCCTCATGTGAAAAAATGGTTATGAAACTTTCCCCTGACAAATGAGAATGATGTTTGATAGGCTGGGAAAGTCTGTTCTCTCTTCCTGTCCAGAGACTGGAGGGCAATTAAAATAATTGTTGCTGTCCTAGCAGATGTGTTATGGACAGGTTGTGCCATTCACTGTTAAATAAGGACAATCAATCACTCATGGTCCTGTCTCAGTAAAGCACGACTTTTCCACAGGACTTGAGCCAGGGCTGTTACCTTGTTATAAGAGAATTGCAAAGTATTGCAACATGCAAATTAACAGAAAAGCAGAATGCAAATTAACAGAAAAGCAGAGGCTAAACAGTATAGTGGTAAGGGGGTGGGGGAGGGGAGGCATGGTAACCCCAGGCTTCTACCTCCATCCCTCGTTTTACTGGCATCCACAGGTGTTAATTATTTTAATCAGGAATTCTGGATATTTAATTTGTATTTAAATGGGTAAGTTTCCAATAAGTTCCTTAGTGTAACAAGTCACCTTTCCCATGGGTTAAACATACAACCTTCGTGTAGAGATCAGCTGTACCAAATATATTTTACCTTCTCTTGAAATACAAATATAATCAGACAACTAGTAAACTATAATGACAGTCTGTTTTTCAATTCTGCTGCCTCCCCTTGAGCATTCAGTGTGGAAACAACCCCTAGCTTTGGGGAAGTGAGAAAAGACATAAATAATGCTGGCCATAAAAAATGATCTGACTGAGAAGAAGGCTTCCTGGATTGATTGATACGATCAGACACTAGGTAGGTTTGTGTTTGACTCCTTTTGAAAAGTAGAAAGAAGCCATCCCATAATAAGCCTTCACCCTCCCCCAAGGAGGGAAATGATGCCATGACTAAATTAATTTGCTTCTTCTGGGATGCTTTTGCTGAGAGAGCTCTAGGGAAGGTAGCAATAATGAAAACACTACTTGCTAATGACACTCACAGGGGACCGGATGGCTCAATGGATTGATAATGGGGATTTTTGCCCAGAGCTTCTCGGTTTGAATCTCTCCCAGGTTAATAGCAGCTGAAGTATAGGACTGTTTGGTCTCTGCTCTTTGGTCTGGAGGAAAATAAGTGGTGTATCCAAGGTTCTTGTGCCCATCTCAGTTGGTACCTCAGTAGAAAAGCCCAGAAGAGAGAGGATAGTGGGAATCCTGCATCTGCGGTAACTTATTCAATCCCCAAGCTCATCTCTTGAGCTACTTTTGGCATTAATGTCCCTACAGTCCTGAGGGTCTGTACAAGTCACTGTTTTATTTAAGGGGAATTTTCCTAACTGCCCTCAGACACAGGCATTAATTCAGAAGTTTGACTCCTGCTCTCTGTTTCTGGAGAGAGCCTTAGTGAGTATGAGAATGGCCAGTCAGCCCAGACCTAAGGCTTCCTTCTGCTAAATTACTGTTTCCGACTTCCTGTTGCTCCAGAGGCCAGGTGGGTGGTTTGAAGAAACACATCTGCATTTATTAAGAGGGTTTAGGGAGCCCCTCTATTGCATTTGGGTAAATCCCACCTCTCCTGCTCCCCTCCTTTCAGAGCACCAGTGATTGCTGCCCTGAGTGGCGTTTACGCTAACAATGCATCCTTGTGCTCCTCCAGAACAAGGAGCACAATCCCTCGAGGCAGCTCTTAAGTAGCTCGTGACCAAAGTCCCAGTCCGTACAGTCCAATTAAATCCCTATTAATCTCATTCAGACCTCATTTACTTTCATTCTGATGCACTCACTTCTGTCTGCTTCAGAGACATCCAGGCGAGGTTCCTCACTGCTAGGAAACAAAGTGCCTCAGGCCATCTTTGAGAGGTAATGTCTGCCTGGCTTCTTCCCCCACCCGAGCGTATAGCTTTGGATTATTTCCCAGCCTGCTCTTCCACCTCCAGGAGTGTAAAGATGCCTGTATTACTGGGAGACTCCAGGCCGGGGATGCTGTGCATGAGAAAGCAAGGGCACCTTGGAAATTGGGCAGGGAAGAGACCTGTTTGGTGTTCTTGTCTCTCATGTTCCTGAATTGTCCCTTCATGTCTATTTACTAATGAGTTGCCCACCAGTCTAGGTGGAAATGTCCTGTGTGAGGAGGCTCCAAGCTGTTTGAAGATTCCCCTGATAACCATCAGCTAAGTTTCCCTTGGTTTCTTTCCTTTCCTCCTGTTTAACTCTGGGCACAACCTTAATGAACTCAAGCCACCCTTCAGATGTATGTAACCTACTACAACGCCCCTGACCTGCCAGCTCATTGTTGTCACTTAGTCCAGACTTTACTCAGAGGGTCAAACCTTGCCTCCCTCCCTCACCTTAAGTATCACCTAACTTTGCAAACAGTCCCATTGGTTTAAAGGGGGTGTCCATTGCAGTAAGGTATTGCCCAGGATGTGTAAGAGCAGTACTATTCAGACCATTCATCTGTCCTTGTAAATCAGCCTCTGGACAATTGCCATTAGCCATATGGATGAACTGCTGGAGAATAAGCACTCCCTGCCTTGGGAACCCATGTGACAAAGGGTTAAAATAACGGGGTAGTAAAAAAATGGCCAGTCTTGGCAGAGTGCCACAGTGACCACATTTGACACCCTCTATTCTAGTCCAGTTCCTGAATTACAAGCTCCAGCCCCATTCATTTGCCACCTCTAAGCCTTTCTGACCTCATTTACTCCCACAGGTACGGAAGCTTTATGCAACCCAGTCCCAGTGGCTGGAACACCCACAGATCATGTGGATTCTCAGCACCTCTGACAATCAGGCGGCAAAGCCTCGGTAAGTACCAATAGCAAAGGGGTGGCTGAGCTGAGTGCAGTTCAGCCCTTCTCATCTCATACTAATGCCCTGGGTGGGGAATCCTAGCATTTAACTTGGTTTCTTCTCTGCTCTACAACCTGTTGCTTGAAGCATGCACTCTGTCCTGATGCCCTCTATCCAATACAGAACAGCTCTGTCTTCAAGGCAGGTATGTTTCTCCCCATTAGAAACAGTTTTGGACTCAGTGCTGTCTCCTCCACCATGTGGAGTTTCCAAGGGTGGGAAGGGGTTGTAGCTTCAATGCAAATTATATGTGAGCTCTAAGCAAGTCCTTACCTTGGTCGTTTCATGCCCCAGGCTTAAATACACTAGGAGTCCTATTTACATATGAGATGTAGCATTTCTTCATTATCAAACTCCCCTTGGGCCCCTTGCACCTTCCACCAACAAAGTGCTGTTTCCATATCTTGTTAAAGCTCATGCCCCCGCTGTGCGAGCTATATGACTTGTGCTAGACTCCCAAAGCCATTGTCCATACTGGGGTCAGAACCCAAGAGTCCTGGTTCCCAGTCCTATTCCTAAACCGTGACCCTCTCCAGTATTGGAGTGCTGTTGACCTCTGACTTGGCTTTGGGGAATTCCATTCTAAGCACCTATCTTACAACATGCACCCAAGTGCAAAGAATGAAGTAAGAGCACTATGTAGTTACAGCACACGGCCGCTCCCTTTACTTAGCAAGCCAACTAACAGTGACTCAGGTCCTGACTCCCAAGTTCCTG